GTATATATGTATATGCCGCTGTTTTATTTATGGAGCCATTAACAAAATCATTTCCCTCTGGGATTATTAAAGTATTTCTGATTCTCATTCTGATTAAATATTGATCAGGATTGAGTTGCAACAGGTCTAACTAGCAACTATGGGAAGCAGCTGCCATATCCATTTTTCCCGTAGAAGAAGAAGTAAAGTAGAAGAAGTAGTGCGCAGTACATGGGCGGGAAAAAAGGCGCCCTCTTCTGGGGATCCGCAGTACTGCACAATGTCAGTATCTGTTAGTACCCATTTTAAAAGTGGATGCAGTGAGAGAAGGTGGCTGTTTAAAAATGTGGACATTAAAGGATTAGGGTTAGGGTTAGGGTTGAGGGGCCAAAGAAAGACTTCAGACTAAAAAAATCCAACATTCTTCCTATTTTTCTTGGATCAGGCTTTAAAGGGATATATACGGAAACAATTCAAGGTGCGCCTTATAGTGCAGAAAATAGGTAAGTATTCTCCCGGTTTCTCCTCTGGATAGCTTATTGTCATAGTGATGATAAATGGAATATTGTGTCTGCTCTGTAAGTCACTTTGGATAAAAGCGTCTGCTAAATGCAGAAACATAAACACATAAACATTATACGTGGAAACAATTTTGACATAGGCCTGTTCACTCAAAACAGGCTATGTTTATGTTGTTTATGTTTATGCATTTGGCTGACGCTTTTATCCAAAGCGACTTACAGAGTAGACACAATATTCCATTTCTCACCACTATGACAATAAGCTATCCAGAGGAGAAACCGGGAGAATACTTACCTATTTTCCGCACTATAAGGCGCACCTTGAATAGTTTCCATATATAACCCTTTAAAGCCTGATCCAAGAAAAATAGGAAGAATATTGTATTTTTTAGTCTGAAGTCTTTCTTTGGCCCCTCAACAACATCTGAAGAAATAAAAGCAGAAATTATTTTGATCAAATTAGCGTGCAATAAGTCAAAAATATATGTTGGTGTAGTCTTCTACTGGCTGTTATCAGGTATATCTGAATGTGTACAAC